AGTTTGCTGGTCACAACCACCTCAATTCCATGCTTCTACTGGCCTTTTTAATTTCTTGTTTGTGCCATTCCGCCTAACGGAATTTCGAAAAAAATTGTACCATTTGCACTTAATATGGTTAGACCTGACCGATGGATTAACATTGGAATACATGGTTTTGTCTTGTCTCAAATTTGATTGTGGTAACATTACATAAACACTGTTGACCCAATAGAAGAAAGGAATTTTCATTGCTACTCTGGAGGAAGATAGAAATGATAATGTGAATGGAATTAAGAATGGTTTCAGGAAGGCACTTGACTCTTCAAAAAAGCGTTTGACTAACGACCTTTTTAATAAATAATATATAGATTTAGCCAAGCCTAAAGGTGGAGCTCCCAAGTTCCTAATATTAATGATAACACGAAAGATGTGCATTTGCCAAGACTCGCCAGAGACACCCCTCCCTTCGTTTTGATAGTCTCCCCTACCCTACCCGTGCAATCTGAAGGCACGTACGTACGCTCGGTCAGTCACGTGACAACCAAACGAAAAGAGGTTGACCATATTCCGTGGGTATGGGAGCCCCGCCATAATTTATCTCTTATAACGTACTCAAATTGTAAATCCTTTTGAACTCTCATGTGTGAAAATGTCTCCTTACAATATCAATACGATATGAAGCAGACAAGTAAATGAGAATAAAGAAAGATATCAATTAGGGTATTTCTAGTTGATCCTCGACCAAATTCTCCAAACTAACATCATATGAATTGTAAGGCATATGGTAAGGAGAATTACTGATAAGAGCTTGGCAGTGAAAGAGTTTAATACTCACATTTTTTGACATTTCACGTTGTACTTCTCAAGGTTTATCTGCTCAGGCCCGGACAAGATGGTGAAAGCGACCAGTTCCGGTCACGTGAAGGAAACAGCCCTAAAGCTAGTGACGTCAGACATGCCTCTCTATTTTCCATGCCCCTGTCGCTCATCGAAACCTCTAATGGCTCAAATGATGCGTGTCTTTATAGTCACACCCGATTCACCCGTACTCGTGACCCTTAACCCGAGGGTCCAACCTTCCCTTCCGCCATGTCCTGTGTTTTACCCCGGTATAAATGCGGGTGTCACCCTTCCCCCAGGAAGCTTCTGCGTTTTGAGATTACCGTACGTGTACGTCTCAGATCTCGGTCCAATTCTACCGCCAGGTGACTCGCAACCGTTGTTGTCGTGTCGTGTGTTGAAGGGGTTATTTTCCGTAATGGGGCTTGTTCAGGATACTCCAAGAGAAAACGTTGTCGAGGGAAGACGCTGAGTCTCAACTAAAGATCTTCATTGGTTCCAATCGTCGAAGTTGTCGGAGAGACTTCCCCTCGCGAAGGCAGAAAGAAGACAAAATAAGAGTTTGACCTGGTAGTTACTTATTGTCGCCTCGTAATTAGCGCAGATTGTTACGTTAGGGTGAGTGAGGGGCACAATTCACTGCCGCACTGCCGCCAAGCAAATGTAACTTTTGGTTTCGTGTTGTTGAATGTGACTTGTTACACATTTCTCGCGGAGCAGACGGAAGGAAGATTTTGTTACAAGCACACGACGAAGCCTAGTTTGATCTGACGTCTGAGTTAAATTGGTTACTGGTCGTTTCGTACCCAGTTAGTTCAGTCGTTTCGTACCCACGGTTGTAACGTACCCAGTCCTTTCGTGCCCAAATAGGTCGTGTCGAACCCAAACTAATAAAGTATGTTTTCGATGTTAACAAATGTTAAAAAAAGTCACAGTATAAACAATAGACATTTTATTAAAAATTATTATCAATATCATTATTATTGCGCTAGGCAATAACTAATTGGTTTTTGTTAAGAAGAGTTTTGTTTGTGTCTTACTCGCTTGACTACGTAACGATTGACATCCGTTCGCATATTCACTTGAGAGGTATTTTGAATAATTGTGTTAATCGATCAGCGGTTTGGGTACGAACCGAACTGGCTTTGGTACGAACCGACTCAAACTTGGGTACGAACCGACTCAAATTTGAATACGAATCGACTGTATTTGATTACGAAACGACAAGATACCATTAAATTGATAGATAAGAACGAAACGGCAGACAAGAGATGCTTTAGCGTTCAACAGGGATGAGTGATTAATGTCTGTCGTTCAGAAAGGAATCCCATGTAACTTTCAACTACGAAGAGTCTACACTTCAAATACTACTTACCTTTCCGGAAAATCACTCTGTTGGAAACTTGAAACGTATCATTCTATGACAGTTGTAGATTTGCGACAGAGGAAAAAAGGCTCATTTGTAAAAAATGCCAAAATGCAATTAAAATTCGGATCAATGCCAGTCTCTGACCAACTGCGCACCTAACCCCCCCCTCCCAACAGACAGTTGATAACAAAATAGAGTAAATGTTGTGTTGAGGGAGGAGTAGGTGCTTAGTTGCTCAAACACAGACATAGATACGAAAATTCTGTACAAAAGAAAAAAGGCGTCATTCTTGATGGTTGAAGAATTTTATTTTCTCTCGTATACTGTAAGTGTATTCGCTCCGACGAAGGGCTAACGCTCGAAACGTCAGCTTTTATAATCGTAACGGTGGCCAATTTACCATTTCAACTTTGTTGATATATTCAAATTATTATACTGTAAGTGCCCCTGATCTTCTTTTCGTTTTTTCTCGATGATTTAAAAAACTGAATCCTCATCTGTGCCTTGCGTGTCACTAATGATGGAAAGATTTCCTACTGACAGACCACTTCATCGTCTACTAGACGAATTGATTTAAAACTGTAGCGATGTAAAAACGTATATTTACGACATTTGCAGACTCAGCCAATAGAATAGATTTACTTAACTTTCCTTTTCAAAGGAACAGAGGCAGAAAGTTTCTAAAGAAACTGTGGTGCTGCGTCGGTGGGGGTAACAAGATAATTGGTTATATCAATTTGTAAATTGGTAAGTTGAAATTGTAAATTGGCCACCGTAACGAATAAAAAAGCTGACGTTTCGGGCGTTAGCCCTTCGTCAGAGCCAATGGCGTAGCTCCGCTTTCAGCATATAAAACCACATACAACCCACAATTCCTTCATTTGCTCTGACGAAGGGCTAACGCTCGAAACGTCAGCTTTTTTATTCGTTACGGTGGCCAATTTACAATTTCAACTTAGTTGATATAGCCAATTTCCTTTTCAAAGGTTTGATAGTTAAGACACATTGATGTAGACCTCGTTTCGTGCGGCTTAATGTGGTAAACAATTACTTATTTTTCAGAAATTTGAATTATAAAGGGCAAAAAGAACCATTTTAATTTTTCACTGCCGGCCGGCTTAGGCTTGAAAATCAGCTGTCTTAAGATTTGAAATGGTCCTTTTGAATTCCAATCAATAAGCAACATGTCGAGTACTCTTATAAATATCTGATATGTTGATAGTGCGAACCGCCTTAGGGTGATAACGTGCCAAATTTAAATTGGGCTGAAATCGGTTGTTGCATGATACTGTTTCGAAGCATGGGAGATAATTCACTTAGCATTGCCGCTTAAACAGCTGAGAAAAAGTCCCTTGCTCATCAAAATTACCATTTCAATATTTTATGAAAATGTGGCTGATGGAGGTAATCGGTAGTTCTGATGACGAAGTGTTCGCGACGTTGTTAATAATTGATTGACGGTAAGTTCATATTCATCATACTTATCATTCCAGACAGAGATCAATTAAATTGACCTTCATGAAGACGAATAATCCCCATGTTTTGCGAACTCTTTGCCGTTATTATTTCCATAGGATGTCCCTTTTAGGCTTGTACCCGTGCGATAATGTCACAGCTCCAGCTTATTTATCATTCACGTCGGCTTCGACGACAATATTATCGGCAATTGTTGCCATTGTGGGCAACTTTCTAGTGGTCGTTTCCGTTTTCCTTGATCCCAACAGAGACCTTCGTTCGCCATTCAGCTTCTTCATTGCCAATCTGGGACTGGCAGATCTAAGTGTGGGGCTTGTCAGCGCTCCAATGGGTGCACTATACCTTATCTCCGAAGGACTGAAGCATGTAGATAATTTGCAAGGATTCCGGGTTTGGATGCATATATGCTACTTCATTTCCTGTACTGCCTCTCTGCTCAGCCTAACGACCTTAGCGTGGGACCGTTACGTGGCTATCGCATATCCTTTGCATTACCGAAGCAAACTTAACCCTGCCAGAGCTTTTTTTATTTCGTGTGTGGTATGGATTATTTCGATCCTTCTGTCCCTAACCTATTTCTTCGTCGGCTACAACAAGTTCCGGTTTGTCTTCGCAAGCACTGCTGTTGCGGTAACTTTTGCGGCGTTGATTTTCACGAACGTGAAGATTTTCAAGTATCTACGATATCAAGTCCGTCACTGGGACAGTTTACACGACAGTACAGAGGATAACGTCGTCATGAAACAAGCCATGAAAAGAGAAAAGAAGATTACGAAGACACTGGTGTTTGTGCTAGCGTTATTTTTAGCGTGCTACGTACCTTCGTGTGTATGTATCTACATCATTAACTTTTGCTCTATTTGCGGCTGTGAGTTTATTCACTGGGTGAGAGACATCCAATTTGTACTTGTAATGGCCAATTCAAGCGTGAATCCATTCGTATATGCATGGAGGTTAGAAAATTTTCGAAAGGCTTTTAAAAGTATTCTAACATGCCGTGTATTTGTAAGGCAGCTCAGGTCAATCTCAGTGAATCTTGAATTGTCGACCATCACGAGCCATGTTGGTGTTGGAAGATTTAATCCATCAGCAGAGGAGCAAGAAAGCTAAATTAAATTTCATTCGCAGCTTCAGAATTTTATCATTTTTGGAATGAAGGCTTCATTTCCGATTAATCAGTTTAAATTTCCTTTAAAAAAGGTAATTAACATTATTAATTCTAGAAAAATTGTAAAAGAACCTCTGAAAAACATAAAATTTATTAATGGTTTAACTAATGATTTTTCCTATTTCCACAATTATAGCAATTTGCACTTTGATGGATGGTGATAAAATTAAATATAAAGATAACAACGATAATTATAATATTCATGATAATTTGTGTATCAAAGGTTACGAATTTGACTATTTGTAGATCGCTTCCCTCCATCTCTTGAATCGAGCCGAGATCGACCGTTTCAGCAATTCTATAACCATTTCAAATGACGAACATCTCGCAGCCTTGAAGTTTATATCGGTTTTTTGCCTTGTGTTTATGTGTTAGCTAGCCAGGTGTAGTAATTGTTACAAAGTCGTTACCTTGTACACTGCTTCTGGGTCGATATTGACTTCACGGTAATGAAGTCAAAAGTTGCTTGCGTCTATTTTGCATGAAGTCAGGAAGTCATGTCTTTTTTTGCGGCTTTGAATAGGAATACTTTCTTCCCCTTTAAACGACTAACACACCAAGTCGTTGAGCTTCAAGTTCGGCACTTATCAGTGCAATGTGTAGCTCAGTCACCCCGTCCAAGTTAAAAAAAACACGTCTTAATCAAACTGATACTTCACGTTATGATCAAGTTTAAGAGTTATGATCCGGCCCCTTTTCCATGGGAAAAATAAATTAAACAAAATGAAATGGAAACTCTCTCAAAGTTGTAATCATTTACTATATCCTCACAAACCCACGATCATTCCAACTGAAACAATTTATCTGTTGTTGGTGCGCGGTATCCCTAGAACACTCGTCAGACGAACGAAAGCAAGAAATTTTCAAACCTATCATTGCAATGACGCAAGAAGAACACGAGGAGTTGTTAGTTCCTATAGTTGCTTCAAGACAGTTTCTATCATGTTTGTTTAGCATATGGTTTTGTAGTTCATTCTATGAATAACGCTTGAGGTAAGTTTTTTTAATAAATCATCATTATTAATTTATTATTATGGTAACTTGTACGTATATAAGTCCTTATTTTTATTCTTGTTTTAAATTCCCAAGGTAACTTTGCAAAATGTTAAGTTGCGAAGACTTAATTCATTTCTTTCCCTAAGTGTTTCCCAAGTCTGAGAGTGTCTTCGTCTTGTACAGAAATACGCGTTTTCCTAGGGGAGCCTTTGTGGTTGACGCATCTGTGGTCGTCGATGCTGTTGTTGACAAAAATTCGGGAGCGGCTTTACACGAGGAAGGACGGACGTAACGACTTTCCTTTGATTTATCGTACAGATCAGCCCAGGACAAAATGTTTCCTATTCCCTGGTTGCACGTTTTTGCAAAGGTTTCGATTTCTTGGTTGGTGAGGACTCGGTGCCAGATGTTGAATTGTGTGACCAGCATTTTCATCGTATTACCTGACCTAGCGAATTCTATTTTGGCTAATCGTCTCCCAATGAAGTCGTTATAAGTTCCGTACTTAACCCTCTTACCATCAATATAAAATGACCACGCCGCCGTGTTGATTGACCACAACTTGCAGAATTGGTGCCATTCCTTGTCTTTTAAAACATCGAAGTTTTGTCTGTAAAGCAAATTCCCAAAATAGCACAGTCTAGAACTCAGAGAGAAATTTCTTTGCGAATTGTGCTCTATAAATTTGTGAAAGGCACTGAGCTTCCGCAGCTCCTGGTGCACTTTATGGAGAACTTAGACAGATCCTTAGGCATGCAAACAATGAAGATCAGAACATTGTACGTTCAATTATGTTGCTGATCTGTCAGGAAATATGTCTGTTGTTCCAGATGGTTTAAAAGGTCTTGTACTTAATCTAGACTAATCACAGGGTTTCGATCCCTTTTGATTGTCTCTAGTAAAAGATATGTCTGGCGCCATAATCAGGTTTCTGTCTACATGAAACAAAAATTGCAGCCACAAAGCCCTGATGGCATGAAAACGTTAACTTAGGTAGGAAATGATCTCCCTGGGTTCATGGAGGAAGAGGAGTTCGTTACAGCTGACGATGAATATGAACTAAGGTTAGTTTCAAGTTTTTCGGTTGCTATTTTCAAGTTGCTTAAGAAAATGTCAATCTTGAAGTGGTGTTGTACAATCACAAGTGTTGTAAGGAAAAGAAAGACACGACAGGTCTCAATAAACAAACTAGGATGTTTGAGGATGGTAAAAAAAATCAACACGGATTTTGAACGAGGCAATTGGATAGCTTGCAAAAAGTACAAACAAAAAGATAGAAAGACGCCAAAAAAACGTAAATATTTTCTTTGCTTGACCTACTTTTCATGGATACCACCGTGTACATATTCCAGCATGATGTTTTCTCCTTCCTTCGTTAAATGAGTTAGCATGTTCATTCCTTTCATATACATCCAAACCAGGTAAATCCTATCTCCCCTCCATGTTCCTTCCACCGTCTTCAGCCACATACATGCGCTAAATTCATCCCCAACTGAGATGTCTCTCTCGTCGAGATAGTCCCCTTCCATTTTGGCATCGTAAGATCCTAATTCAAAGTATATAAACTGCATCAAAGATTTACATTAGACGTAGTGAGACTGGAGATGGTCTCTGTATTGACAATTTGGCTTTTGTTTGTTTCTAATTTGGATATATCAACAGTTGAAATGGTAAATTGGCCACCGTAACGATTACAAAAGCTGACGTTTCGAGCGTTAGCCCTTCGTGGGAGCGAATAGAGGAATTGTGGGTTGTGTGTACTTTTAAAGGCAAAAAAAGGAGCAACGTGATGGTGGGAACATGGCAACGAGAAAAACACGAATAAATTAGTGGAATGAAAAGCGTTCGTTGATACCTGTGGGATTTAGACTGCCGGTTTGAAAGCTGAGCTTTCAAACCGGCAGTCTAAACTGTAATAAGTCGAGTGCATTTTTTTTTTTATTATTGACCAGGCACAGGGTCAGGACTAGATTTTGGCCAAGCTCAATGGGCAAAGTCAGGTCCAGAAAAAAAGGGCCAATGTCTAAGACTTTTTAGAGCCGACCACTCTTCAGAAGAGAGATTGGAAAATTTGGTAATACGTTTGAAATTGAGTTTGTTTTATATCGTGGCGGCATTTTTTGATAAAAAAGTCTAATGATGCGAATTGGCCCTCTTTAAGTCTCGAAAAATTTGAAGAGCGTGTTGGCTGTCTTTAATATATGATGGTAAAGTTTTGACGATGGGAGCCATAATTTTGGCTAGATAGCTGGAGATAAGTTTGTTAGGGCAACTGCAAGCCGAGACAATGCGCCGACCCGGGTTGTTAGGTTTGTGAATTTTAGGTAAAAAGTAAATACGAGAAGTTCTAGGAGTGGTTATGATGAGATTTTTTGCTGTGGCCGGCAATTCTTGTTTAGTTATGAGTTGGTTGATCGTATTCTTGACGGAGTTTTGATTGCTGGCAGTGAGGTCTTTGTCGANACGGAAAGCCGTAAAAATCTTGAACAAAAGCTCATCTTTCAAACCGGCAGTCTAAATCCCACAGGGATCAACGAACGCTTTTCATTCCACTAATTTATTCTTGTTTTTCTCGTTGCCATGTTCCCACCAATAACGTAGCTCCATTTTCTGCCTTTAAAAGCACACACAACCCACAATTCCTCTATTCGCTCCGACGAAGGGCTAACGCTCGAAACGTCAGCTTTTGTAGTCGTTACGGTGGCCAATTTACCATTTCAACTTTGTTGATATATCCAAATTATTTCGTTACTCCCACCGACGCAGCCCCAAACAGTTTCTTTCGAAACTATCAACCTTTATTCTTTTGTTTGTTTATGTTGTTGTTTTTTATATGCATCGCATGGTAAATAAATCACTTGCCTGGCCTCCACTAAAGGGAAGAAATTTTGTGGTAACGTCAATGTTTGCCGTAAATTTCAAGGCTAAACAACCACAACACAAATTGAGAATTGATATTAATTTCATCTTGGAACGTAGTAGAATTTCAATAGTGATGGTGTAAAAGGCTGAAAAGTTGTGAGGTGGATCGACTTGGTTTTCGGGTGTCCTTTTTTTATGTTTTTGTATTTATACATCATAGTCAAGTTTAGAAGAAAATCAGTAATTACGGTTTAAATGAAATTTCGATCGTGAAGAGATTCCAAGACATCAAAGAGTTTTACGATGCTGTAAGAACAAGAAACAACCAAAATGTTGAACACTAAACTTCACTTTAAAAATTTACACTCCTATCTCGTCACGGTTCTGTGTGGTGTTCCTTAGTAGCAGTTAGTGTATACTTTTAATTATACAAATATGCACTCACTAACGCACTCCTTGTTCTTGTTTATCATGGATGTTGATGGGCAATCTTCAAGGCATCTATTTGTGCCGGCCTCCTTGACAACTCGGCACGCATAGCACTGTTCATCACTATTAGGTGCCTTACACCCTGCAAATTAAAGAAAGAAATAGAAAACAAGTCTTTGAATCATGAGCCGCTCTTCTAGAAAATGATTGGAGGAAGGAAGTCTTTAAGAAAGATTATGTACGGAAAAAAAACGACTGAGTCAAGGTGGTAAAAATCCTTGTACCACCTTAGTACTTATCCTTGTACCAATCCTTGTACTCATCCTTACCACGTTGTTAGTCATAGTACTTGTTATACTCAGACGTTGTTAGTCATAGTACTTGTACTATGACTAACAACGTCTGAGTATAACACGCTCCTGTTATGAATATTATCATGCTTCTAATTCATAACCCAAACCTGCAACAGGATCGCAATGGTTGTGACAATTCTTGGCACACAAATTTTGGATGGTGTCTTTAACGGTGTTTCCTTTGCACGTGACCCCTGTGCGTTTGTGCGAAACGACATGAGCATCCATAATGTTCGCTGGTTCGTCTTTATTACCAAAGGCATAAAATCGAATGTCAAAGTTTCTGTTTCTGTCAATCATATTGAGGTAAACGTTCCCGGCGTCTTTCGTGCCAATACTTTTCCCGTACTCTATTAAAGTTGCTTGGCCAGAAATGGTAACGCACACAAAGTACGATTCATACAGCACACTTTCTCCAAGGGCCACGGCATCTATGCTTGTTGTGGATGGAGAGCCCGCTGCGGCATCATCTCCCTGAGAAGGATTCCAGACCAAAGGGAAATTAGATATGGATACTCACCGGCTGCACTAATTTAGGTTGTTGTCTGGCACCACAGTTTTCTAGGTGTGCCATTAATTCACTGTTCAAATCATATGCTATCAGTTCATTTATCATAATTTCCATCAGTATTTTATTGGTACTCTATATATGCGCTCTTGGCTGTATTCTTGGCCGGAGAGAGAGAAATCTCTAATGAAAACGGGCTTCGTTGGTAATCGTGGCTATATGTTAGTGTGAACTAGCAACTTAATGGAACGTGCAGTTCACAATAAAAGCAAAACAAAAAAAAAAGCAAAACAAAAAAAAAAGCGAGAACAAAACACGGAGAAAGCAAGCAAAGCAAAATAGAAGTTTAAATAAATATATTACTAAATCAATCAAGTTGAAAGTCAAAAAATACTTGTCATAAACTAACCTTAAAAATCACAACTTTGGAGGGGGAAATTTCGACGACATAACGAGCTTCTAGATTCTTTGGAGAAGCGGAAAATACCACATAGATGGTTCCCTTCGACGCCGCAGTAAAATGCAGACATTTCCCTTCCTTATCCTCAAGGTCCATGCGAAGAATATTGGACCATTCTGCATGGCATGGCACCATAGTTATGATGGCACAGATCCAACTGGTGTGTCAGCAAACAGACCAGCTGTGACCGTGCTAACCGATTGAACCCTGGCCAATGGTTTTCCTTTAATGTCATCAGAAAGTGCAGGGAAGACTTTTCTCGAGGACTTGAAATCATCATTGTCAAGGTACAAGTTACCATCTTTCTGATCATAGGATAGCGTAAGACCAAATATGGATATTTTGGGCTTTTGAGGGTTGTGGGTTGAATCACTAAAACCGCTGTACATGTGGAATGCATTGTTGCTATCACTTGTGTACCATTCGCCGTTCCTGTTTTGAAGAAATTATTTCATAAGTATGATATAATATATCACAAGTGAGGACAACACATTGGGCGAGGGAAGAAAAATTTGTGATCTTTGTCAACATCGAAATCTATAAATAAGAGTTGTTTTGAGAAATCTCCTGAGATTCAATGCAAAGGTGACCCTTTCAATTTACCTGTAGCGAACACTCCGAGTCATATTTTTAGGAATGCTGAATGCACTATGCAGTGGGTTTATCAAATCATCCAACATATCAAAGTTAACTTGAAATGTGGTGTCACTGCTGGTCAGTTTTTTCCATTTAGGAGCTGATATCTTTTCCACCCATTGGTCACTAACTTTTCCTGTTTGTGGAGCGGGTGTCTTTGGTACGGGTGGACATTTCTCGAGGCGAAAATCTGACAACGATACAGGGCCCTAAAATACAATCACAAGGAATAGATATATCAAAGGTGCCGTTATTTATCAAATGATGACAATATTGACTGTTGAACTGAAAAGAATGATGCATTTGGAAAGTTTTGCACAGTTTACGTTCAACTGAGGTTTGTTCGAAATCGAAAAGAACAATCGTGGACTTGACAGAGTTACTCAGAAATGGTCCTTAAAGTGGTTACATCAGAACTAATTAAAGAGATCTCTAAGGCAGGCCTATTAAAAAACTCATATAAACTCTCAAAGAATTCTTATATTTGTACTGAACATGTCACTGGATGCCTTTCAAACCGAAAGTCTAGTTTGCTAAATCAGTATGATGACACTACTGCGATAATGCGAGTAAAATTTCTTAAATGCCATACACATAGATGTTCCAGGGGAATTTCTCCAGACATTGTCATCTGTAGTAGACTCATCTTTATACCTCTTCATTACAGGACTCATCATTATAACTCTTCATTACTGGACTCATCATTATACCTCTTCATTACTGGACTCATCATTATACCTCTTCATTACAGGACTCATCATTATACCTCTTCCATGTAGATCGCAATTGCCCTTTGCAGACTTGTCCTTTTATCCGTTATTGCGATCTCCAAGCTTTGCCTACTGTCACACTCGCAATAGACCTTTTCCTTTTTTCCGTCCGTGCCAGTGATGTAATAGAACTTACGTCCGTCTTTTTCTGTTTGTAGCTCTGCCGCTTTTCCTTCACAGCCCCACTTTACCTATGGTATTTGGTAAAAAAATCTGAGTTTCTAAATTGATTTCAGTCTTCTCAGTTTACACTCGCATTTTGAAAGGGATTTGGAAGAATATACTTAGACTTTAGCAAACAGAAGGTCAAAATACCCAGTCTCTCTTAAAGGCCTACTCCAGAAAAGAATTATTTTAGTTATGTTTTTTTTTCTTTTAGGTCATTCCAATTCTTCAAGATCACTGCGGGATCGAGATTTAACGAATCCCATGAGGCGAATTATGATCTCATGATGATTATGATCTTATGATGAATCAAGAACTCCGGTGGGTTTACTCATACTCTACTTACAAATTCAAACAAAACATACAGCATCATTCCCGGGAAACCAGATAGATTAAGACTCGATGATGGTAGTTTTCCATCTGGCAGGAAACTACTTACAGTTCCTTAAACATAAGTTCTGTTATAGTATGTTATACACACCTTCTCATCTGGGAACAAATCGTTTGCGCGAAAGTTCACCAATTCTGTCACAGAATTCATCTGGAATTTAAAAGCCTTTGGGTATTGGGGGATCGATTGTAGCCACTCCTTGAACTCTGTCTTGAACGTTGGCGCATAAACATCAGAAAGGATAGATGCGATATCTTGACTTCCTCCTTTAGCCTCTACTGCTGTTGATGTTGTTTTGGTTTCCACCTTCACTGAGTGTCCTCCTTCCTTCTTGTATTTTGCTCCAACACTTGCGAAAAGAGTTTTGTATTCCACTTCCATTTTTTCTGAAAATTGGGTCTTACTCCCTGCCTGACTAGCATCCATTGTCTTTCGTATTTCCAGTTGACCTCCAAATTTAGCTGATTTGATATAGTGTGTTCCCCATCTCTGGATAAAATTTTCTGTTTTGCAGCAAAGAGAAACAAATCAGTCCCATTTCACTGGAAGAAAAACAAAACAAAACAACTACAACAAGTACAAGTGATATTTGATATCAATTTAGCAAAGGTGAATACACTTACGGTATTTTATTGGTGCCCCTGCGTTGAAGTATGACTTGGGGAGGCCCATGAACTCTCTAAGAAACGTCAAGCTCAAATCTTGAGGTTTAACTTCGTCCATAAATACTTCATACCTGTGCATGGCAACTTTTCTAGTTATCCAGGGGGAAGCTTATTAAATATGTGGCTAAAATACGCACCGGTTCGCCCGCAAGTTTTTTTTTTACGATTTCGATTTCGCATCAAATCGCGAAATTGAAAGGTTTGAGTTTCTATCCCACGTGGGGAACTCCGCTATTTTCGCTGTCCCCTGGTTGCGCCCAGTATGCAATTGCCGCCTCAGCTGGGCTTTCGGTCTATCATTATAATAACGACGGAATTTTACTTTTCGCATCGGTAATTTTTTACGTTGCGCAGGAACAGTTATTGCGGCAAGGGATGACAGAAATTTCTACCAGGACATGATTTTTTTAATTATCTGTTCATGTCACTTGCGGTACCCACCTGTCGACATCGACATCCAGCACAGACATGTACTGTTGCTTAGCGCCCGACTCGGAGCTGCCCCATGCTTTTTTAGCGCCGGCATAAAACCCAAAAAAAGATCCTGACACACCGGCTTCCTGCTGCAGATATTTCTGGAATTCCCCTCGGCTCTCGAACGTGTGCATTGTGGCTGACGTATCATAAATTCCATGGACGTTCATGGTGTCTGGCACATCGTATTCGTCGTAACTGCAATAAAATAATTTGAATATATCAACAAAGTTGAAATGGTAAATTGGCCACCGTTACGATTATAAAAGCTGACGTTTCAAGCGTTAGCCCTTCGTCGGAGCGAATAGGGGAATTGTGGGTTGTGTGTGCTATCAAAGGCAGAAAAAGGAGCTACGTGATTGGTGGGAACATGGCAACGAGAAAAATACGAATAAATTAGTGGAATGAAAAGCGTTCGTTGATACCTGTGGGATTTAGACTGCCGGTTTGAAAGATGAGCTTTCAAACCGGCAGTCTAAACTGTAATAAGTCAAGTGCATTTTTTTTTTTATTATTGACCAGGCACAGGGTCAGGACTAGATTTTGGCCAAGCTCAATGGGCAAAGTCAGGTCCAGAAAAAAAGGGCCAATGTCGAGCCAAATTTACTAAATATGTTTAATCAATGACAGACATACATGTATTACACGACAACAATATATTATGATTGCCAAATAAATCATGGAAACTAGCTAGTCGTGGTTTTCTTTTTCTTTTTTTTTTTTTTACAGTCTAAAGACTTCTTTGAGACTTTTGTTGCTGAAGTTCCTTGGATGCTTCCAAGTGTAAAAGCCAACTCGGAAATCTCGCTTTTTTTTTTTTGCAGGATCAAAAGGGGCAATCCCCCGCCAGTGAGATGGGCCACGTAAAAAAGTAGAAAACTTTATAACAGAACAGAGCACAGTCAAGTCTCTACTTTTTAAGTACCCATTTCTTTGTCTTTCGTTTATTATGTAACCATATGGTTAAAACTTTAGAATCTTGTCTGTGCGTGTTAATACTCACGTTGCCTTGTTTTTGCAGTTTCGTTGCACAATGCTCATTTTTCTTGACTGTGGACTGTACTCTCCACGACCATCAAATCCAACGCCAAGAAAAGCCGCTCCATCAATCATATTCTGACAATCAAAGAAAGGAAATTAACAGCTGTTTTATTTTGCAATCATCGAAAAAAGTCACATTTCATACAAAGTGCCGTCACACCTAACATCGTTCTTTTAGTCCTCTGCCTTTGAAGAATTACTGCAAATATTATGCGAAAATTTGTCTTTCCTAATCAAGCGGAAATATTTTGTGATTTTTTACTGAATAAACTGTATAAAGGAGTCTTTAAAGTATTCTTTTCCTCAGAAGGAGGACAATAAGCTAAATGGAAAACGACGGTTCTCTTCAAATAATACTTTCCTCCATTGTTCCAGTTGAGATAGAATATTCCTAAATCTCAATGAGAAGAAAGACAGAAACAAAATTCGATTAAGTTAAAAGAAGAAGCCTGAGCAGGCATCACATACCTGGCAGACACTTGATGTCCATTTGGCATTATAACAAGGATCACTTGCTGTGTAGTTCTTTCCCCAGCATCCATTCATCATCACGTATCCCAAACCAGTAGCTGGAGCATACGCATAGGGAACATCTCCGACTTCTTTATCATCCTTCTGTACACCCGAAACAGATGCTCCCAGGTGATAACCAGGGGGTACAAACATATCTGGGGTGCTCCATCCTTTATCAGGCGTGATATCCAACTTGATCTTCAGGTTGACAAAAATTTTAAAAATTCAATATTCAACCCTGTCACCTCCAAGAGTGACTGGCAACTAATTCAGTTCTCGTCACCACAACACCACTGAATTAAGAGAGTCTGGATGGGGTTAACGTTAATTAGTATATACTAAAACAGTGGATAGCGTTGNCCCGTACAGGCCTGAAATTTTTTTCAGGTCTGATTTTCACTATTGCTCAAATAGTGCTTTACTGCGAAGGATCGTTCTCATATACGTCTCATAACCGCAGTTCACACATATGTTTCATATGTTTGTTGTTGTTTGATTTATCATCTACGGGTTTATATCGAATTAATTTGATGGCCTGCTCCCAGTTGGCTTGTTAGCTCAATTGGTAGAGCGCTGCACTAGTATCGCAGAGGTCAGTGGTTCGAGTCCCGTACAGGCCTGAAATTTTTTTCAGGTCTGATTTTCACTATTGCTCAAATAGTGCTTTACTGCGAAGGATCGTTCTCATATACGTCTCATAACCGCAGTTCACACATATGTTTCATATGTTTGTTGTTGTTTGATTTATCATCTACGGGTTTATATCGAATTAATTTGATGGCCTGCTCCCAGTTGGCTTGTTAGCTCAATTGGTAGAGCGCTGCACTAGTATCGCAGAGGTCAGTGGTTCGAATCCCGTACAGGCCTGAAATTTTTTTCAGGTCTGATTTTCACTATTGCTCAAATAGTGCTTTACTGCGAAGGATCGTTCTCATATACGTCTCATAACCGCAGTTCACACATATGTTTCATATGTTTGTTGTTGTTTGATTTATCATCTACGGGTTTATATCGAATTAATTTGATGGCCTGCTCCCAGTTGGCTTGTTAGCTCAATTGGTAGAGCGCTGCACTAGTATCGCAGAGGTCAGTGGTTCGAATCCCGTACAGGCCTGAAATTTTTTTCAGGTCTGATTTTCACTATTGCTCAAATAGTGCTTTACTGCGAAGGATCGTTCTCATATACGTCTCATAACCGCAGTTCACACATATGTTTCATATGTTTGTTGTTGTTTGATTTATCATCTACGGGTTTATATCGAATTAATTTGATGGCCTGCTCCCAGTTGGCTTGTTAGCTCAATTGGTAGAGCGCTGCACTAGTATCGCAGAGGTCAGTGGTTCGAATCCCGTACAGGCCTGAAATTTTTTTCAGGTCTGATTTTCACTATTGCTCAAATAGTGCTTTACTGCGAAGGATCGTTCTCATATACGTCTCATAACCGCAGTTCACACATATGTTTCATATGTTTGTTGTTGTTTGATTTATCATCTACGGGTTTATATCGAATTAATTTGATGGCCTGCTCCCAGTTGGCTTGTTAGCTCAATTGGTAGAGCGCTGCACTAGTATCGCAGAGGTCAGTGGTTCGAATCCCGTACAGGCCTGAAATTTTTTTCAGGTCTGATTTTCACTATTGCTCAAATAGTGCTTTACTGCGAAGGATCGTTCTCATATACGTCTCATAACCGCAGTTCACACATATGTTTCATATGTTTGTTGTTGTTTGATTTATCATCTACGGGTTTATATCGAATTAATTTGATGGCCTGCTCCCAGTTGGCTTGTTAGCTCAATTGGTAGAGCGCTGCACTAGTATCGCAGAGGTCAGTGGTTCGAATCCCGTACAGGCCTGAAATTTTTTTCAGGTCTGATTTTCACTATTGCTCAAATAGTGCTTTACTGCGAAGGATCGTTCTCATATACGTCTCATAACCGCAGTTCACACATATGTTTCATATGTTTGTTGTTGTTTGGTTCTTAATTATGTTATGTTCAATTTAGACCATTTGTTTCATTTATTTGCAAGGACCACAATGGAAACTACTGGTTCACCAGTAATTGTGTAATCCTATAAAAAATACTTTTTTTAACTACGGACGAGCAAAGGAATTTGGAGCTTCCAACCATTCTGGCTGGAGAAGGAAGCGAATTAAACAGTATTATAGGAGTGGTTTGGTAGTTGGTATTGGTACAAATATAACAGTGAAAAGCCTAATCTCTATTAGACCTATTATAGAACGCTCATTAGATGCCGATTTATTAGCACCCAGAAATTTGTCATTCTTGAATTCAAATAGTTTATGTTTTATTTAGGTTATGAATGACATAGCTAAAGTGACCTTACGAAAAAGTTTAATCTTAAAGCGTCGCAGTGATGCGACTGACTGGTCCTATTTCATGATGTTTGTCTGCTGGGCATATTCTGGTTTCGTGTGATTTTGGTGAGGTTAATAACTGGCTCCAATTATGATTGTGCAGCATTTGTTGCACACCTCACGGCTTCACAATGATAATCGCAGATATATACTATTTTGTTCTTATTGTCTCCTTGATATCTTATGTGATGTAGAAAAAAGAAAAAGACGATTCTCGGTATACAATATAATAGTTAACAATCTTCAAGTAAATCCCAGTGTAATTATGAGCCTGGTGTCCCTCTTGGCAGTTCACTTGGTACAGAAGAAGATCAATTGGGGTAACAAAGAAACAATTGCCATAAGTAATAAATAGGAAAAGAAAAGCCCGCCAATTACGCCTGCGGGTAACGAAGGCGAGAAGAAGAAAAGAAAAAATCCGCCAGGAGGCCAAGGAGGATGAGTCACTGTCAAAAACTTTCAAAGAAAGTGGCCAAAATGTTACAAGTGATTAAAAACCGGCGGAACGAGCGACAGGAACACGAGTTTTAGTAGTTAAATGATAGTCTTGAAAAACCTACTCACATAGCCCTTAATCACAAAGACGTTTTTCCGTAAGTTGCTGTGAAGTTCTTATAAGAAAAGAAAAGACGGAATGATCAGTGATGAATGATCCCGCGATTCCTGCACTAAGGGAATCAGTCGTCTTCGCGCATCATATAATCTCTTAATAAACTCTTTAAGGTTTAAGTGAGCAATATTTGTATGGGGGATGGGTTTATTTTATAGTCATGTTGCTGATTTTCGTATGCCCGAGTGAAACTTAATTGATTGACTTGTTTTCAGAACCGTTGAAGTTGGAAGGTTCAATGGCCCACAATGAAGAGCTATTTAAGTGTGGAATCTGGTCTAAAGCTCTTCGAGTTGACGATGGTAACCTTACAGTAAAGGGAAAGGTGTATTTTAAAACGGGTTCGTTACATTTTACTTTTCGTGAATATCGTTATGAGTATGTGGTACCTTCATACCTTTTTGAAAATGGACACTATTGTATTTGTTTTAGTGCATTACGATCAATGTGCGAAAAGATGGCAACCATCTCTGAAAGGTTCCAAGAGCATAG